GCTAAAACATGTCATAGTATGTTAAAGGAGCTTATTTAAAAAAAAAACTAAATTGAAACAATTTAATTTTCAGAAAACATTAAGAAATTTTCAGAAAAAATAACTTAAACATAATTGTTGTTTGTATTGCTGAGCATTATAAGTTTCAATGGCCACGGCTAGTTTGCACAAATTCCATTTGTTCCACACATTCAAAAACCTGCTGTTATTTCCGCGCTTGCCTCCTTATCGCTTTGTCATCGACGCCTCTCCTCTCCTTTCCTTCCACGCAACGTGCCATCGCCTAAGCTTTGACACGCTGACGAGCATATTCGAGCGCCGCTGCTAGTATGCGCTTCTCCAACACGCGATATTCCAGCACCATCGCCTCCACGTAGCAGAAATACAACTCGCCTTTCTTGTATGCAGCCAGCTGCTCCTCGTCCGCCTCCAGCGTGGTGGGAAAGACGCGCAGCAGCAGCATTAGACGTGTCTGCAAGTACTGCCATGTCTTCGATTCGAGCGTTGTCTCGAGCGCGCAGTCGATATGCAACAGATCCATGGCACGTTCGGACGTAATCCAGTGCTCCAGCTGCTGTGCGTTCATGTTGAAAACGCGCACGAATGCCAGCAACTCAGGTGATATGTAGGTGGGCGGAGGCAATACCTTCAAGTCGGTATTCTTTGTTATCTGCATGAGCAGAAGTAGTTTGGCGCGTTGCTCGAAGAGCGGATCCGAATTGCCCAGACCGAGTTTGATGCAGACATAATCCTTCGGATTGGTGGGGTTGATAAAGCTGTGTGTTGGTGTGTGTGGCGGAGAGAGGGAGAAATAAAGATATAGAGAAAGAGTGGTGTTGTTTATAAAAAAAATTGCTAAGTTAAGCTTATGATTTTGGTGCAATGAAGTAGTGGGAAGATGCGCAACCAAAAGCTCTGCGTGTACAAATGAAGTTGGGACGAAATAAGAGCGAGGGGAGTTTTCGCAAATATCCACAAATTGGACGCTTTATAGCGCTTAGGTTAGTGGGAAATGGCGATCATAATTGTGGCTTCCAATAAACTTTCCGCATTCACCGAGTATTACGTTCGTCAAACCACAGAAAGAACAGTATGAACTACTGTGAAAACGATGCTCGAATCCCCTCTTAGACTGCCACTCTGTGGACGGTTAAAAATTCCACGAGGTCCACCACCGACCTCGATAGGCAACTTCAAATGACAAGAAAAATTTTTCGTAATATAAGTCGCCTTTTGAGAGGCAATGGCAGTTCTTCGAGTGCATTTCTGGCATGGAAAATTTATCTCACAAAATCTAATTACAATTTGATATCAATAAATTCTAAGATTAACAATCACATCGGGTTTCAAGGCGGACCTAAATAATCTTTTGTGTATTCGCCAATGGACCAACGCCCGGTTATCGTGGCTCTTAACTTGACTATTTCTTTTCTCGACCTCTGTCTTGACTTAGGGTGTTACTACTATTATGTATTTATGTATTTTTTGCACCGTACTGCCTTATCACATTCCTTTTCAAAACCTTTTCTGTTCAAGAATATCTTTTCCAACTAGGTGGAGTACTAAATTTGTTTTCTATTGCATACCTGAAGGTCTCATTGTGGTTCTTACTGTAATTGCCTGTGCCAGTTACTTACGAGGCATCTTGAGTAGTTTTTTCCGGAACAAAAAAGCGTGTTCGCTCTCTATCTTAACATATTGCAGAACTCAAGAAAAACGCTGATCATTTTGTCTCTCAGTTCTTTCAGCCTAAATTAATAGAGTTTTAAGGAGGTAAAAGTTTCCATGAAGCTTTCGAACAGTTAGATCAGCGTTCCGTGTACCATTTACTACTTTCTCTACATTCAATTTGTACAGCTGAGAGCGCTTTTAGGTTACATATGTATTAGGTGAATGATCGTAATTGGGGTGATGAGGATTAGGTGCAAATATTGAGTATAAAGAGAAGAGAAGATTTTACTCCACTTACCCGTTATGAATCATCAGATCAGCATTGGCACGATCACCGTAGTGTATGAATATTTGCTCGCCAGCTTTGAAATCCGACTGAGCGGCGCTCTCCATCTCCTGTGTGCCAACATTGAAGAACGAAGTTACACGTCCTTGACGATGATTTGCCATATCCCAAAAGGGTATGAGCGCAGCAATGTTATCAGGTTGGTCTTGACTAGTATCGCCGCCATTGGCGGTGGCAGCATTAAGTGGACGAGAGCGTGGAATCATATTCTCGCGCGTCATGACAGTGGAGACAGCCCAGCTGAAAGGGATGAGAAAAAAAAGGAAAAGAAATGAAAGTAAGTTAAGGTGATTTATTAGGGTGTCTAGGCAAAGGAGTGTTGCTTAAAAGCTAGCCCTTTTACAGTCCTTTGAGTTTACTTAGTGCCGACAAGCGCTTATCGTATAAATCCCTGCAAACAAACCGCAAAAATATGCGGCTAAGTACAAAGCAAAGTTGACTGACAACGGTATTTTATTTTACCTTTCTCACGCGCGTTTTTTCAATTTTTTTTTCTGTTAACTTGTCTGCTGGCTGACCATTTGAGTGTAAATCCTTAGTAAACACCTTCTTCCATTAACTACAAAAGCTCTGCCGCTTGCCACTTTCACTTAACTGTATCTTCGACTACCCTTAGTGGCCACAAGCAGCGCTGCCTACAAAACTGGGTCAGCCGCAAGTATGGCGGCTAAAGCCACAAAGCAACGGAAACAGGAGCCCCGCCAAAGCGACAAAGAGAATGCGAGAGATAAAGTGAATAAATATTTCTTTCAAAGTAAACGGTAAACGTATATAAAAGCCTCATTAAAAGCAGTTCACTTGTCTGTAGACTGGGAGTCTATGCTGCTGGGCGCCTAAAAGTAGGCAACACTGTACATAATTTCCGCGATTAAATTAATTAAATGGCGCATGAATTTTTCAATTAAAATGTAAAGAAAAGCATCAAACCAAAAAAAAAAACATCGGGCACAATTCCGGAGAAACTTTAAATGAAAGGCAGGGAAGGACAGCGAGGTCGGTAGTAAACAAATGCGATGGCGCGCATACAAGCAGGCTGAAAGTCAGCAACGGCGGCACACGGACGCTCCTTTTTAAATTTTTGCGCGCACGACATGCCTGTACAGAACGCGATACGCACAAAAGAAAGTTTCACTCATCTACTACTTCATCATCTGCGTCTTTGTCTAGTCCTTTTCTTTTGGGTTTCTTCTCGCATGACTTGCCTCAACTCAGCCACATTGATTTATGGCATTGAAAATGCCGGCAGACTGTTTGCTCGGCTCTACTTGCGGGCGCAAACGGCACGCGCTTCGGCACTTCTCCGCTTAATTCTGTTTACTTTGAGCATACAATGCATACCTTAAGGCACGGCTTGGCGCGTGTGTAAGCGTTTTATTGTTGCACAAAATGGCTGTTCCTGCCTTATCTTTCCTGATTTTTGCTTTTAACTGCCCCCAACCACATTTTGCTTTCTTTCATTTCTCTTTGCTTTTGTTTTCCCGCATTTTTTCTTTTTAAACTTGAGAAAGAAAATTTTCACTCACTTCTTACTGTCTGATTTATGATGCGAAAGTGTAGTTTCCCTGTAGTCAAATGTACTAGTTGTAAACTACTTCACAACTAGTATGAACCACATGCCCAACTAGTCAGCCAACTATCTTTTTCCATGCAACCAACTGGTATTTTTAACATGGGGATGTCCTACGAGATGGCAATTGTCAGATTTCGGTCAGAAATATACCAGTCTCATACTAGTTCAAAATAGACAGAAAAATACTAGTCCAATTATCTACCAAAACCACTACTTTGAGAGTCAAAAAATAAAATGAATCCATGAATATGCTATAAAAAACTTTTGTTAAGTACACTTTGATATATTACACATTGTTATTTAGCAGCCTCAGATGTTCCAATAATTGGTGTAAAATTTTTTGACTATTAATTAAAAGCAAAACTAAATACATAAATATTTCCAACTTTCGAACATAAATTTAAATGCATTTCTTATTAAAAGTAAAAGGTTTCAGGAACAATAAATACTAAATATTTATCTTTTTTAATAATACTGAATCTGCAAAGGAAAACATTTTAGTTAAAGTAAGTTTTCATTAAAGTAAATTAAATTCATTAACTTTGTACATTTCAGTTTATTCTTTTTAAAAATTTATAAGAGTAACAATTAATGTTTAAAATTTGAGATTTGGATAAAAATAAAAAAAATAAAAAACTCAAGTAGTTATTAAGTATTTTTAAATTTTGTCTATAGTTTGGCTTGCTGATTGATAATTGAATATCGTGTAAATAAAAAAAAATCGCGTTTTATTGAAAATGATCAAAAATAACAAAATTATGATGTAATTAAAATTAAAGAATTAATTAACTTTTTTTTTAGTAATTAATTATTAATCATTAAAAACGTGGTAATATCGGTATTTAATCATTAAACGGTTATCAAAAGACATGCTTTAATTAATAGTTATTATGAATATTAATCATTATTTAACAGGCCTGGTATAATTGAATACGTACTCAATTTAATGGTTTACAATATTATTTGGGTATAAAGTTATAATATTTTGTGTACTTTATTGTACAGTATATTTTGCTTAGCTGTCCATCCTTCTTTGCACGAAAAACTTGTGCGCTTAACCGAAAAAAGCACTTAAGCGAATTTTCTTTACTACTTCAATGAGGAAGGTATCCGAATCCCTATGAAACCAAATAATGGAGGAGCACTTACCACGTAGAAATTACTGCAAGAGAATTTTTTTCCGAATGGTATCTAATTATCTATATAACTACATAAAATAATTGCCGTTTTGGTTGTTCTGCGAGATGAGCAAAATAAATAATAGCTTGTAAAATTAGGGTAAGTGTAGAGCCAGTGCAGGTAAACGTAATACTTTCTTTGATAATTGATAACAGTTGCAAATTTTTAAGGCAGGTATCGCTAATGTGCAGGTATGTTGAATGCAAGTATCGGAGCAGTTTCCTTATAAATGTTAAAAATAATGCCGCTGATGCGCATTTTGGGGTACGTATCTTAAATGTGCACTTAAGCACAAAGGCAGCAAAGCAAAATATACTGTATTAAACTGTCGAAGTCAAATAAAACAGGGCATGAATAAATCGTTTTGTACTTGGTACAAGTGTGGTCATTTTCGAACTAGTTCGGTTTCTGTCAGGGAATTCTAGTTGTAAAGTAGTATTTTTCCTGACTAGTTTGGGATTTCACTGCAGGGTTTACTTCCGCACACAGGCACACTCACATTCGGAACACTTATACATACGAACATACATAAAAAAAATATGTAACAGTATTTTATTGCCGAGCGGCGTAAGAAAACACTTTTGAAAGGCATACTTTTAGGTAGTAAACGTGCAGCATTAAACTGTCAGGCGAGTTTTTTTGCCACTTTTTTTGTTTTATTTTCTGTGATGGCAAATTCTCTTTTTTTACATTAGCACCGCGATGATTTGTGGAAACGCTGAAAGGCGCGTGGCAGCGGAATTGAAAACAATTTGAATTTATATGTGACAGCAAATTTGTGAAGCATACTTTTTGGCATTGTGACAGCATATATGCCATGTGACGGTAAATGCACTGATTATAATTTACGGCAGTTGAGTTGGAAAATTTGGTATTGCGGAAATATGCCAATTTTTCGTGAAGGACATCATGAATACTTTATTTTTAAGTGGATTTCGAATATAAGAAATGTGAAAGCAATTGGATTGTAACAGCATGAAATATTAGCCAAGAAAATGTACGGTCAAGTCCATATATTAAATTCCATGCTAGAATATCCTTATAATCCTGCCTATGGAATAGCATGATCAAGTGACAAAATGCCTATTCTCTTTTGGTTGAACAAAAATTTTGAACATCTTCGTAACCGCGATAGGATTTTATTGGCAAACAGCTTCTTAATGGCATGTCTGCGCAAATGACACCTCGACGTTTGAGAGAAATTTCTTCTTCTTTATTCCCTCTCCTCTCTCCCCCTCTGTGTCTCTTCTCTCTCTCTCTCTCTCTCTCTCTCTCTCTCTCTCTCTCTCTCTCTCTTTCTGTCTCTTTCGCTCTTTTTGTCTCTTTCGCTCTTTCTGTCTCTTTCGCTCTTTCTGTCTCTTTCG